CGGGGCTCTGAAAATCACTCGGTGTCACGAATTTTCTGCGGGGAGACGCAGCCTCCCTCATCGTATCTTTTCTTATATACATGTGTGTACGACAACTCATAAATAAGGGCACTAATCAGTAACGCATTCTGAGCACGCGACGAACCATGGAAAGGCTCGAACCTTCTCGCCCAATTTCTAGACACTTTTATATAATTATATCATTAATGTCTATTTCTATTAATGTAGAGATTAACTTTATATTGTCGATTTAATATTTACTTTTTGTTCTTTTCAAGTTCTAATGGTTATACTGAAAAAAATTATTAAGTTTTAATGAATATTTGTTTGAATAGTACTAAGACTTACTTACAATAAAAAAATATTTACTCAATAAAAAAACGATATTTAAATTAATAATTTTTGTACGTAATAAATGTATGTTTACATTTAGTGAATATTTAGTTAGTACTGTTCAAATAAATATTTACTAGAATTTAATAAATTTTTTCCTTAAAGTGTAAAAAAAGATAAAAAAATAAATTAAATTAAGAGATTAAAGTTAATCTACATTGTGCATTGGTTAGAAATGAGTATAAATAACGCAGCAAAAATTTTAGGGGTTTTAAGCAACGCGCGAACAGACCCATTATTTTCCACAATTCTCTCTCTGTCTATCTATCTCAGCGTGCCGGCGATCGTCTATTCTCGCGGCTTATTTAAAGAGTTTCGCGTGAGAAAGAAATTGTCGAGCCACGAGTTTAGCCACTTTCACACGTCGAGATAAAGCAAATAGAGTCCTCACTCGGATCCTTTGTTTCCATCTTTCCCTTTTTATATTCCCCGTACCTAGCTCACTGCCGAGATAACTTCTAATTGTTGTAGTTGTAAATCTAAGTGGCAACCAGATAAAGCAGATAATAAATTAGATAATGAGAGCTCGTGAAATTAAAAAACCAATTATATTTAATAAAACTGTCGAAAATCAAACAATAATAAATATTAATTAACGGACAATGAGAGCATTTACAGCGCGATATTTTTTTAAGCGCAATACATAAAATATATTCACAATACTTTTACATTACTTGTTGATACAATATTCTTGGACGTTTCGATTTACTTTAAACCATCATCAGCAATGCCGTATAATTATCATAACAATATGCAATCCCCACAAGTTGGAGATGGTCTCTGCGTTCGACAGAGGATGAGCATACTCCTACTTCCTAGTTGAGAAATGCCTTTATTTCTCTTCGTTGTTTAACCAAGTGAATAACCTCCGCTTTTGCAGATCACAGTTTGAAGCGCAACACGTTACATTACAATGAGTAGAAAATAAATTATAGCTATATTACTAAAGATATTATCCATGTGGAAGTCAAATATGTAACGTTACGTGTTACGCTTCGAACTGTGATCTATAAAAGCGAAGGTTATTCACATTTAACGAAGAGAAGTAAAAGCATTTCTCAACTAGGACGAAGAGATCATCTCCAATTTGTGGGGATTGAATATTGTTATGAAAATTATACGGCATTGCTGATGATGGTTTAAAGTAAATCGAAACGTCCAAGAATATTGTATCAACAAGTAATGTAAAAGTATTGTGAATATGTTTTATGTATTGCGCTCCACAAATACCGCGCTGTAAATGCTCTCATTGCCTGTTAATTAATATTTATTATTGCTCGTAGAATTATTTTGGACAAGTGTGCAATAGCTATCACCGGTCTCTAAAATCTTTGGAGTCTAAAGAGTGAAATCTCATTCTTAAAAATTAACAATTGAACTCAGTTGACATACTGGCTCAGTTGTCTTTCTTTTGTCACTTTTTATAATTAGATTTCGCTCCAAAGATCTTTGAGAGCAGATATTCCATTCTGGGAAAATACGTTGTGTTCTCTTTCTCTCCCAGCGTACATCCGAGACCTTCCGTCCCTTGTGCGAAACCCTTCTTCCTGTCTAAATCTACATATATAAAAAATGTTGTTACATTAATTGGAATTCAGGTAGATTCAATCAAACAAATACAAACCAGACAATCAAATATGAAATACATCTCATTCTATGTTAAGCACCGTGCCGAATATAGCAATCCAATCAAAAGTTGTCTAAAAGGAATGTCCAATCTCTTACTTAATTGAAGATCTCTACTTAAATACTCCGTAATTATCATCGTGGCACTTGAACGCGACAGGCTTGGGGAAAAACGGTGTGTGGTCGCTGATGCCTTGTGGATAATTAATGGCCTCGCGAGAGTTTTCCTGAGCAGTCTCGCGAGCCCCCATAAATAAGACTTAATCAGCGAGTTAAAAGGAGAAACGAAGAGAGGCGAGAGAATACCGGCTTTCCAGCAATCGGAGCCGGATTCTCTTTCTCTCTTTCTCTCTCTCCCCTCCCCCTCTCTAAAGAATTTATCTCCCTCCCACAGAGAGAGAGAGAGAGAGAGAGAGAGAGAGAGATTTTCGCACCCCTTTCTCCTCTTCTTTTCTCCAAAGAATTTATCTCCCTAACACAGATTCTCGCACCCTTCTCTCTTTCATCTTCAAACGTGACTTTTACAGCTGCCGAAACGAGCGATTTACAAATTCTGAAGCCTCCCTTTGAGCGGTCTCATTAATAATACGTTCGTTCGAGAGTATTTACAATATTGGCTCGCGATCAATTCCTCCGGCAATATCTCGAGAAGAAGTAATATATTGCGGACAGAAGATGACAACATTGTTTTTTCTTTTTTCTTAGAATGAAGCAGATTGTCATCGTTAAATCGAAATTTGAAACACACTAAATTCTTCACGGAATAAAAATCACATGCCAAGTCGAAGTAATAGGAAATATTGCGGAACACAAATCTAACAAATAAAATAATAAATTTATATATTTAATAATTATTACCATTAATTATACACTTATTTAATATTAAATATTTAATAAGAAATGGATTGGATTACTTATTGGCTGCATTCAGCAGAAAAAGTAGCTTTGCAACTGTTGTAAGATTCTTTAATATAATTGATTTATACATTTAGATCCAATGAGAAACTAAGAGTAAAACCAAACACATATTAAAGAATTTTACAACAATTCCAAAGCTGCTTTTTCTGCTGAATGCAGCTGTTGTTTTTATCTAGTCAAACATCGCGTCGCGAGTGTTTAAGGGGAATTAAGGGGAATTAAATTCAGGAGCATTCGCCTAAAATCATCTTCGAGGCATTTTCAAGTCGTTTCGTAGATCGGTTAGATCGGCAATACATGCCGCGGCCGATTTTGTTGGAAGGTCGAATACCGTTCCATGACTCAGATCGCTGGTCGTGTTTGTTTATGCGCGACGAGTATCCATCCGGCGGAGTTTCGATTCGCGAAAATCCCTCTGCCAATATATTTACGTGGGCGAATAACGCAGATCTTCCACCGAGGCAAGAATGCTCGTTGCGGAACGCACGTGCATCTGCATACTCTGCATCCGTAAATACGCGTGAGAGAATTGTGACAGCGTGCGTCGGTCGACTGGGAATTCAACAGTTCCTGTCATTTATGTAATGCCACTTTTAAAGCAACCCCGACAAAACGCAGTTTCCGTTTGTTACTCTTTCGTTAACCGTCTCGCGCTTTCATCGAAAATTTAGCTCGAGCGCGAAAGCAACTACGATCGCACGAATCATCAGTCACGCCTTATTTTGCATCGTATATAAATTTGACTAACATACTATAAGTATGTTATTCTAATTATATTACAAAAGATTATCGTTTATTTATCGTTGCCAATAATTTATTTTAGTTAAACATTCATTATTAAGCGATACTTGGAAAAAACTTTCTTTTGTTCTGTAAAGTATGTGGTAAAAAATACGTCGTTTACGCGGAATGATGGAATTTTTCCGTGTGCATTCGCTACAACAATATCACAATTCAAAAAAGTATTCAGACATTTAGTAGATATAGATCTAACAATAATTTTGTTGGATCACCATAAAGTAAGTATTGCGTGGGAAACTGAAGTATAATGATCAATGCTGCAAAAAGTTTTGCGACAAAGTCTTTTTGAAAGAAAGTTTGAATGATTTGAATCATGAAAATTTTGTAATATGATTCTAGAATAATGAAAGTACGTTCTTTCCTTTTTCTTTATGTTTCTGTTCCTATTTGAAAGCAACTCCAAAATAACAATTTTTTAGTCATGTCATTATGACAAATGTGCGGTATGTAAAGTGTGAAGATTTTTCGGTTTGTCTGCGGAGGACAAAACTGGAGCGATATTCTGCCCATAAAGCGTCATACCGTACGTCAACATCAACTTGAATTTAAATCTGTTTACGTTTTCTTTTTCGGTCGTCTGGTTTTGTTCAAGGGTCACGGAAAGATTCGTTCCCATTGCGGTATAAACGTAGACAATAGGCGAGCTGTTCTTCGTCGCTCTAAATTTACCATGAATATAATCTGTAAATCTCGAGGTATAGGTATATATGTAAGTGTGTAGCACGAATACGTTGACAATGATGACAAAGCGAAACTGAGTCACGATTACGAGCAAGATTCTTACTCAGCCTTCCGTGTCATTGTTGCAAGAATTCAATTGTAGCCTAAACGAAGAGTTTTTCCCCCGCGCTAATTAATACGCAAGAACTAGAATCTGTTATCCTCCATTTGTTTCACGCGCTTCGATGGTAGTGTTGCGTAACGCGCAACATTCTCTATTAGTAATTAATTACATTTTGCCGAGGCGATATTGCCATTACATAGTACTATATTATTACGGGATGCATTACATTCTACTAATAACATTAACGTCTTCTCTCTGGATAAGTATCAAAGACAATTTATCATATTAATAATTTGCATCTATGTAATAGCATTTATACATTTAATATTGTAATTAGAATTCGCTGATGGCCGTCGTGACATAAAATCGTCATTCGATTTAGAAGCTATCGCGATGACGCGAATTTGCCGCGGACTTCACAACTTGTCATTTACGTAACGATATATATGTACTTATCGACGGCTCTTTCTCGTTACAGAGCATCCGGGGAACAAATCGAGCCTCGGCTTCAGCCTGAGGGGAGGGTACCACCGTCACTCCCTGTACTTTCCCGTCGTGGTTTCCGGCGACGTGGAGGACGTTACGGTCGATCATGCGTCCCTGAGATTCCTTCTCCAAGGCGATCACAGACGTCCACGCGATCTCGAGGCGCTGGTCTATCTCCGCACGCCAGCCTCCCGGCGTCTCCTGCTGCGGCGCAAGATCCCGCAGGGCGAACCGACGAGTTCCCGATGGATGGAATTGGACTCCACCGAGGCGGCTGCGAGCTGGCTCGAGTACGCTCTGGAAAACCATGGCCTCGAACTGGAATTTCTTCACGACGGTCGGCCGACGCGGCGCGAGGTTTCCCACGCAACGTTCAACGTGTTCACCACGTCGGAGTCTGGAAGTGGTAGAAGGAAGAGGTCCACTCCCGAGGAACTGATGCCGCTGCACAAGGGCCGGCGCAGCCGGTGCAAGGGTGACAACAAGAAATGCTGCCGGCACGAGCTGACGGTGATGTTCAAGGACCTGAAGGGCTTTGAGTTCATCGTATACCCGAAGGGCTTCGACGCCGGTTACTGTAAAGGCCGTTGCCCGCCCCGGTACAATCCAGCACATCATCACGCTCTGCTGCAGAGTTTGTTGTGGAAGGAGGACCGGAAGAGGGTACCTAAGCCGTGCTGCGCACCCAGCAAGCTCGACCAGCTGATGATCGTCTACTTCGACGAGAACCAGTCAACGCAGCTGAAGGTGTCCTACTGGAAGAACATCCAGGTGTTGGAGTGCGCCTGCTCGTAAAGAAGAGGAGAGGAAAAGAGAGTGAAACAGTCTACCATGGCCGAGGACTCACCAAAGAATCGTCCGAATTGCGGTTCGGTGATGCCATCCACATTTTCGCGTTAAGATATATTACAACTATTAATAAATATACTGATAATGGCGAAAGTAAAAAGAATGTACCGTCGTTCGACTTTAAGATTTTCGTGCACGTTCCGCGTGACCCTCTAGACTTCCATTACTTCTCTCTTTTCTTTCTTCATACGATTCGGACGATCCAAGGCATCACCGAATACTCAGACCCTGTAAAAGCTCGCCCAGATTCAGGGTCTCGCATCGACTGTGATACTAACGATATTTACTTGTCATTATATTCCTTATTATATAGCGATCGTATTTTATATTATTAGGACATTCTCACTATATCCAGACCCGGCTAAGTGGAAGCGAATCGTTGCGAATCGTTGCGAATCGTCGATAATCGTGAGCAACGACTACCCTAACAGAAATCCAATATTGGCCAATGCAGGCTAATTTATTACTGAAAGACATTAATTATAATTACTTATTTGGAGTACTAAAAACACTAAACAGGCAATGCTTTTAATACTTAAAATAAGTAATTAATTATTGTCTTTCAGTATTAAGGTTGTATTAGATATATAATTTTTGTAAAAAGTGCCTGAAATTGGGAATTTATACTTTCTATATAAAAATAAATTTTATATACATGCATAATGTATGAAAATTCAGTAAGGTTAATATTTAAAATATTTAATACAATTTTATAGTTAAAATGTAATTTTTCTCATTTTATCTTAATTATTTTTTAAAAGTACATGCCTACTTCTTATTAAAATAATTTTTGATCCTTAAAGTTCTAAATCGCCGCCAAATCTCTTGTATTACTTTCAAATACAAAAAAAAATATATAGAAAAATCTATAATTTTTTCTTTTTAAAAAATGCGTGTAATAAATTCTTAAATTGACCAGTATTAATAGATTTCTGTAAGGATATATCTTCTTGTTTTAGCCGGATGAGCATCCCCCTGAAACGCCATATCATCTTGTAACGCATATCCTCTATCTGTTAATTTATTACAATCACGCTAGGCTTCTGCGAAACGAGCGGATCGATGTCTGATGCTAATGTAACTTTGTGACACAAGCTAAAGTCTTCGCTCTTATCGAACCTGTTTTGTATCGAGGTTTCGTTTAGTTCCTATAGAGTATTACGAATGGAATCTGAGTCCCAAATAAATCTCTCGATTCCTCCCCCCGTAAGCAGTTTAATACGAGTGTGTTACGCTCTCGCAAAAATTCCATTACATATTTTCCACGAGATCTACGTCGATCGATAGCCGCCGCCGCCGCACTGTAATCTCCATGTATGTATGAGCATTTCGAGTTTTATCTGTGAGATAATAATATTATTCGCATTTTATCGAAACAATGTGCATCGCATAAATATGAGCGATAAATTCTAGCGTACAACAAGATCGATGAGAAACAAGATCGTTGTTTTTCTAACGCGTCCGATGTATCAAATTGTATAAAAATTTATGATCGCGTGCACTATTGTAAAATTATAATCTAATTAACCACCCAGCGGCGCCCTTTTATTATCATTATTCTTGTCCTTCTTATTGTCAACTTATCTGATGATGGAGATCCATTTATAGCGAAGTCTTAAATATATGATCTATCAGTTTTCAATAAAAAGACATGCTTATTTCTCTTTCATTTCCTACCACTGCGCGTTGATAAATCTAAATAAATTGTAATTTAAAACAAAATTTGGATTGATTTTATATCAAGGAATACCGTCGTTTTTTACAATTGTCTCAAGTTTACATCAATTCCTTATTAAGAAAGAAATAGAATTTATTAGACTTAGGCTGGGTTGTTCCACCTTCCAGTAAACTTCAACTCACTGTTTTATTCTCTTACTCTCTTATATTCTTACTCTTTTACTCTTTTGTTTTTATCCAATAAGTAAATTATCACATTAAGTTTATTCAAAGATGGAACAACTGGCCCTAAATGATTCATTTCAAAGATTCGAAGAGTTATAATATTTATTTTTATTGTAACTTCGTAAGTAAACAATACATGATGTTCTTCTTTTTATCTTTCTTTTTTTTTTGTAAATTTCGACAATATATATCTAGAATATATTTTAAATTTTTTCTCTATCAAAATTGGCTCATTTATAACCATATGATCGAATTTCTTTTAAATATAAATTTGTTTAATTTATAACTTTCTGTCGACTGACTACTGCATCGAGATAAGAGAGACTTGGAATATAAGTCCTTCGTTACAGTCCATAAATCGTCAAAATTATTAAAACAACATATTGCTGTAAGAAGTTACACAATCTTAAATACGATTCGAATATCTCGCTCTTCAAAAGATGCAAATTGATACAAATTCAAATAAAAAGATGCAAATTAAATTCAGCAGCTAAATTCAGGATATTAGGAGAACATGATTTGGAAGAAGTAATGGGCGAGTTCAAGTCAGCAAAGCGACTAGGTCGGCTCACCGAGCAATTAAACATGATTGGTTGGATTCACAGGTAAGAACCAATCACGCTCATTTACTCGGCAAGCAGATCTAGCCGCTTTGCCGACTTGAACTCGCCCGTTCTCTTCTTATTTCTGATGCGGCGCGAATTTCAAAATGTATTTTTACAAAATACGGACAGAATTTTCTCCTTACAATTTTGTATCAATTTCTATCATTAGCGAATCGAGATCTCTTCAGAAAAGCTAACGAAAGCCAAATACAAAATTTGCGCTAGTCAATGATCGTTATATATAATTTTCGTTATACATAATTAACACACAAAGCAGTTTTTAATAAAAAAAAAAGTTCATTCTTCTATCTTCTATCGCTTTACAGTATTTAACTAAATCATAATTTGAAAAAATCCTGTCAAATGATTATTTTTAACGAAAATGCCACAAAGAAAATCACGTTTTTTCATAATATTTCAAATTTTTAACTCCAACAGTCTTAACAGTTAAAACTCGAATATTTAGAATAACGAAATTAGAGCAAATTCCAATTTAAGTATTAATTTATCAATATTCTATTACTATTATTTATAAAACTGTAGTGTTTTATAGATAATAATTTCAAAATTAAATCATACAACTGTTTAATTGATGTTTCGAGGCGACCGTTGTGATTTTATGAATAGAATGTAATGTGGAAGCTACAATCGACTGAATCGACGCGAGGGGTTATCTGGCCACGACAGCAATAAAGTTTTATTAAGCGTGACGCCGCTACTCACCCCGTCCCGAGTTCGAAGGTTACCTTGTGTGCATTATGCAACCACGCACATTCATGCTACACGGAGTCGGCACAAAAAATACTATTTTCAAAACAGACTATTCAGTGACCGATAATGATAAAGGAAAGGAAAAGCGATCTTCGCTCTTTCCTCATAAACACGTGAGTTTCATTCACAAACTGTAATCGCATCATTGATTATAAATCAAACAGAAATAGGTCAGCGACAGTATCCGCGTCGATAAATGAAATATTTTGCGACAATATCTTGAATACAAAATCTGAATTGAAAATTACATTTACAAAGGTGATGATTTTGTTTATATATATAGTACATAGATATATAATATAAATGAAGAATCATAAGTAATGTGTGAAATATAAGTGAAAGCTTTATCTCCTGGACGTTTTGCCGATTCCTCTTTTGCCAGAGAATAAATGCTTCGGCATTTTATTGCCGATAAAACGATCGCCCTCTCCCTTGAGACCTTTCTTGGCTATTTTCTTCTTCTGTGTCTTATGAGTTATGTTTTTCAGCTTCATTTTCATCTGCAATAAACGCAAGCAAGGATAAATTCTATATTTCCATTTGTGTAAATAAATATGCTTTCATAAATTGGAAAATAATTAAAATGAGGTATTCAGCTCTTCAATAATCTACATTTTTTAAGGAAGTTGAGCAAATTAATCTAAGTTTAATTGTCTTCATTTTAACATTAATTTTTCTATAATATAGATCACTGTTGCGCTGAAGCCTTTAAATTCATTGTCTATTTGTCTATTTGTCTCTTACTTCTACGTTTTTAACGCCCATCTCATCCCGCGGTGGTCTCGAGACGCTGCGGGCACGCGACTGTGATGCCGATTCCACACGCATGCGTTTCCTAGCAGGTTCTGAGCGCGACCTGGACCGTCCTCTCATTCGTTTGAAGTGCGCCTATAGTTACAATTAATACAGAATATAACATAATATATACAATACTTGATACAATAGAATTAATAAATTACAATAGAACAGTGACTGAATTAAAACATAGTACGATACAAAAAAACTTGTCCTAAGCTATCTTCTTGAAAACATTTAAATACTGGCACTCACGTTTTTAGTATCTTCCATATCCACACCCAGATCTTCCATCTGCTCCTTCAATCTCGCGACTGATCGATCGCGGGTCTTAGCCGCGGCTGTACGCGGCATAATCGGTTTCGTAGAAGCCTTTAATATTCGCGCCTCGTCCTTCATGACGAACTTCTTCTCACGAATCTGTTTCGCTAGCTGTTCGATCTCGCGCATCGTTTCCGATAACTCTGGTATCTTATAATCGTAGAAACCGGCTTCTTCCCTCAACTGCTCTTCCTTTTCGAGTTGATTTAATTTCTAAAAATGGAAAAACGGTATAGAAACATGTTTTGCTTTGGCCATCATGCATTGATACAATCAAATTTGTACTGACTTCAAAGATATCTGGATCTATATAATCCGCTATATTATGACCTTCCCACATCTCCGGGATGATGTCGTATTTCTGATCTCCCTCAATATCGTAATTCTTCTTCAGATCAAGCACATAATCATCTCCCATCTCCTCTTCTATCTCCCTCTCCAATTTACGCTTCCTTATGGCTTTCTCCGCAGCAGCCTGCCTCTTCTTCAGAACGCTCTCCGGTATACACGGGACGCGATTAGGATCTATTCTTTTAGGTTGAGCAATGTGCAATCGGTGAAGAAGTCCTTCCACCTATAATCATTACAAATCGTGCATTACAACTGCATATTTTGCATGCGAATTTTGCATTAAGATCTTTGAATTAATTACCTTTTTAGTCTTGATCTTTTGATCGACTCTGAAGGCTAGAAGTCGCTCGCAAGCCTCCAGTTTCACTTCCATCACGCCAAAATCGGTGATGGTGCTCATTTCTAGCACAGGTATATTCATATCGTTCTCAAACGGTTTCAGAACAGCCCTCTTCTCCGGAGATAATTCTTCCAAACGTACGATATCCATTTTATTCATGACTATTATTAAAGGCTTGTTCGTGAATAAAGGCTTTATGGATTCAAAAAGTTTTACCTACATAAACAAAACAGGGTTTAGAACATTAATGTTAAAGATCACAAGTAATATAATCCACAGCTCACTTGTTCCTCCAAAGTATGACCACATTGCTCTGACAAGTCGCAGAAGTAAAGTACAGCGGCTCGCAAGTGAGCGAGAGCAGTTACCGCTTGCATTTCAATGACATTTCTCTCTTCCAGTGGATGATCTAATATTCCAGGTGTGTCTATTACTTGCCATCTCAAGTATTTATAATCAGTATGCCCCACAAACAAAGATTTTGTTGTGAATGCATATGGTTGAACCTCTACATCGGCTCGAGTAATCTATAGAATAATTCACATTACATATTAAATACTATTTGTAGACAAAACAACCATAAAATTATTATGTATTATTTACTTTATTAATGAAACTACTCTTGCCAACATTTGGGAACCCGCATATAATTATCGTACGCGTGTAAGGATCTATACTTGGCAATCGAGCCAAGTGTTGACGAACTTGCTCAAGATATGTTAAATTGGCTGCCTGTTTCTTCATAATTGTGGCCATTCGACCTAGAGCGGCTTTCTTCAGCAATTTACACCGATATAACGAATCTCCGAACTTTAAAAGACGAACATAATCCTTTGCTACTCTGTAATCAAAAAATATATTTTGTAAGAATTAGAACAAATCTTACGAGTTATATGTAAATCATTGTTTTGTTACTTGTCAATTAAATGCCTCGCTGTATTTATCTGTCCAAGAGCCAACTTATAATGATCCTTATCATACAGGACGTTCATCAAGTCGGCGTAGAATGGATGAACATCATCCAGCTTAGGAAACTCTTGTATTATCTGGGATAATTTATCGTGAAAATTCTGTTGAGTGAATTTCACCTTTCGTGTGTAGAAAGCGCGTATCCTCGTGATCTTATATTGTTTATGAATAACGGTTGGTGTCTTCCGTTGTGTTTTCGACAAAATTATATCAATAAAGTCCTACGTTGAAGAAGATATTTATAAGTTTTGTGAAAAAATATTGTAATATAAAAATATAAGGAAAAATTAAAAAATAATTTTTATTTATTTTTTACATGCACAATACATGTGCACAAAATATATACGAAGTCATTTCTGAATATAATCACCTAGCTTCGGAACATATTTTGTATAACAATCAATGTATTCTGATTCCATCTGTAAAAAAGATTTTTGGCTGTCCTCAAAGGCATCTAAGCATCATTTCCTAAATTATTAAATAATTGAAATTTAACTTCTTTCATATCTTGATCTTACTACTTTTGATTTTCATTATTTTTTATTATTAAAGATCTTGCATGGCTGGTGACTAATTTCAATTATTCTAGAGTTTAGAGTCAATATTCCAATTCTTATATTTAAGATCGTCTTAAGTATAGTCTTGAGATGTCATAAGTTAATTACGGAACTGTATTAGTATAGCAAAATAATACTTAAGACAATCTTAGACAAATTCTAGCTGTAGAATGTAGGACTAGTATTTGTAGTCGATTATTATATTTAAGACTTGTAAGTCTTAAGATGTCAAGTTAAATCTTAGTATCTTAAGATATTACTTATATAAAGCGATCTTAAAATAAGAACCGATTGTAAATACCAATCCAGGAAATATATACATAGCTTCTCAAAGGCAGCCAGAAACCTTCTTCATTATATGAAATGTATCACAAAGCAGGATCATTATGTTGAGAAATGATATTGTACATACATACATATTTTGCTAACTTGTATTATACGATAAATAAAATTCACTTTACTTTCTGATTTTTCCTTGTATTATAATAAATATTGCACTTAATATAATAAACGTTACGACATAAATATATGAAATTACAGACACAAATGTATGTTAACTAACCTTTGCAGTTGGGACAACCGCAATTTTCTTGAAATTGTACAAAACCATTTTCGTTTAATTTATTATATTCCGCGTTAAAGAGACAACGTAACTTTCCTTTCTTTTTTTTATTAAATACCTATTCCTTCGAGAAAACAGAAAATATTTCATTTACTCAACCATCACTTTGACTTAGAAAAACCACGTGCTCCAAAACAGTTTAGGTTTGGGCAATTTGAGGTTATAAATCTCTCAGCGAAAGAGGCTAATATCGGAATGTCCCGCAGCGGAAATGGCTGCGTTCAGCAGACTCAACAGTTAAGTGAGCTGCTATTGATGTATTCTTTTAGATCTAAAATCTGGTTGGACGATCTAAAAGAATACATCAATAACAGTGAGCGCTCACTCAACTGTTGAGTTTTCTGAACGCAGCCAATGGTTGCGTTCTGGAACTTCGCTCGGATGTCTCCGATCAGCAGTGTTGCCAACTTGGCTTATTTTCCGCCATTTCTAGCTTATTTTAATGTCACTTAGCGGGCAAAAATCGTGATTTAGCTGATGACTTATTTTCTGGATTATTTGAAAATCGAAGGAGCGGATTCTCTCTTCAAAATAAGCCAATTCTTTTTTATTAAATTTTAATTAATCATATGTATAAATTTTCACTTTTCATTTTCCATCCTAGGGAAAATGTTTCATGATCGATATTCGTTACCTGTATATACAAATTTTATTAGGCGATGTAACACGTGAATGACAAATCAAATCATGCGCAAACCTGCAATCGCTAATCGATACTATCGATAGTGTGATATAAACCTGAGATTGCGAAATATTCAAGTTGATATGAGTGGTTTCAACATCGTTCGATGTACATCATGCACCATTTTTAATTATTTCCCACGCTAATGAACAGGTTTTAGCATCAAGAACATATCCAAATTTCTGCAAACTTGCACGAAAATTGACACTTTTATAAGAATGTAATAGTCTCATATTACATTTTATATAAATGTTATATTACGAGTACATATGTTATATTACATATTTATATAAATGATACATTAATTTTATTATTTCAAATAGAAAAAATGAAATAAAAATTACGAGTACGTATTTATTTCATTCCCCTTTCCCCCTTTTTCTACACATGTGCACATTTACTGGTTTTAACTTATTTCTGGAGTATTTCCGAGAGGCATATGACAGATTTGAAAATTTCAAGTTGGTAACACTGCTCCGATGCAAGAACAGATGATGAATCCGAGGCATCGGAGGCATCCGAACGACGTTTCCAAACGTAGCCAATGTGATATTTTGCTATTTACGTAGGAAACCATTGCTGAAGGCTGAAATTTTTCGTTCTAAAAAAGTTATGAAAAAATAAACGGAAAAAATATAATTAGGACATCAATGCTGGATTCACAAGAGTGTCGTACGACGCAAATTGGATGCAGTGTGAATCCAGTATAATGAGACGTCTTATTATCGGGACTAAATGAGAATATTTCAGAATTTACAATTTTATATACATATTATCAATAGAGTAGGCATTGACACCGACGAGATATTGGTCGCGTTCAGCAGACTCAACTGTTGTGGAGCGGATCCGTGAGGGTTAGCTGCTATTGGATGATCTAGAAGAATACATCAATAACAGCGAGTGCTTACGGATCTGCTCCACAACAGTTGAGTCTGCTGAACGCGACCATTATTAAAGACCGTCAACCCTGGGCAAATTTTCGGCGGTATAAAAAGGGCCCCAAGGGTCCGGAGGTAATTCAAGAACGCTGACATTACCGACAATTGATATAAATTTGCTATTATTAACATAAATATTTGGCTCATGCATTATTAAATTCATGATT